TATNTATNTATTATGTATTATTATGTATAGTATGTAGTAGTATATATATATATATATAATATATATATATATATATATATATATATATATATATATGTATATATAATATATAGATATACGATGATTGGCTAGCTAGATTAGCCCCCGGAGAACGCGTAAATGCGTCGTCCATCAGCCATAGAGCTACTGCCACTCGCAGCCAGGGAAAGTGATCAACCAGATACATATATATTATACATATATGGAAACCGCTAAAAACTATGATATAATGTATTGATATATATATGTACGTGCATGCCCTGTTCACACAATGTACTTTCACGAGTGTTTTCACTAGCTGCGAACATTAACCTCCGGAAACGTACAGGTGGCCCAAGAACCAGTAACCGAACAGCTGTACAAGCCACTGGCTAACCAGGAAGTACATGTACACAATACAAACACGTCATATACATGTACATGATAAGTGTACATATATGCACCCACAAATCCATCCACATACAAATAGAAATACATACGTGGATATACAAGTCCACTTCGTGTGATAAGCCCTCGCAGGTGTTTCCAGAGGGGTTGTCCCACCTCGCTTCAGAGGTTCTGCACGGTCTTTGCCAGTGCACTGGTACACGGCTAGTCAGCGCGCGACATCACTGGCTAACAAGCAAGTACATATAAAGATACAGATAATACAACGAACACGTACATGAACTATGTATATACATGTGAACATGTATGTGTATACATGTGAACATGTATGTGTATACATGTGAACATGTATGTGTATTCATGTGAGCATGTATGTGTATACATGTCCACTCCCTGCCATAAAATCAAGCGATTAATCCCAGGCTTAGACCCACCTAGCTCCGAAAGTTCGGGATGGCCCCCGGGAAGTGCATAGGTGCCCTGCGAATCCGCTACAGCGTTGCTGCGTTTGAGAAACGGTACCAGCCCATCCTCAGTTACTACCACCATAGCGTTACCGAGAGCCCTGGAAAGTAATTGTACGGTTGAGATACAATAAATTATTACATGCTCGCTCTTCAGATGTTAATACAGTTTTGAAAATATTAAGGCAGACAACTGACTATGTGCGATTACCTACTACTATAGTATTGCCTAGGGTATCGAGTATGATCTTCGACTTGTATATATATATATACATATATATATATATATATAATATATATATATATATATATATATATATATATATATATATATATATATATATATTATATATATATATATATATATATATATATATATATATATATATATATATATATATATTATATATATATATATATATATATATGTGTGTGTATTTATGCACTCGAAAACACGTATTGCCGTGTGTGCGTTTACTAAGTTCAGCAGACTCTTCGGACGGAAAATGATCCTAAACGACGCCGTGGTAAAGGATAGTGTGCTAGCCGCAATCATTTCTGTTTTGAACTTCAATTGCGAGTCAGATATAGTGTTTATGTAAAACAGCTCACAAGTCAAATATAATGGATGTGTACAACAACTCGCAAACTCTAGTGTATATGTACCACCACATACATATTGTCATTGTCCTGTCGACTATTTGTCCAGACCCTTTGGCCGGCAAAAGATACTCAAAGGGGCCGCGGTAAAGACGTACGCGGTCCAACACGGCTTACCTGTGCACCTCATCCCCGCAAAAGGGATCAAGCACTGGACAGTGCCCAAAGTAAAGTGCGGTACATCTGAGGGAGAGCCAGAGATGCCCTTCGACATGGGCGTGGTGGTGTCCTTTGGGTACTTCATTCCCGGCAGGATCATCGACGCGTTGCACTTAGTCAACATCCACCCCTCACTGCTGCCGAGGCACAGAGGCGCATCCCCTATACAGTACACCATTCTCAGGTGCGAATAACCCTATTTCAATGTCTCACGTACGTGGCCTGAGGTGTAGCTGGCCTGTACACAGCATGGGTGGTGTGCCGATGTTCTTGTGTATATCTTTTTGGGTCTTGTTGCGTGTTCAGCAAGTGCACTATTGCAGATGTATGTGCTTTCCAGGGATTAGTAGGAAGATATATAGCCATGTCTGAGCCTATGTTGAGTCCAATCAGTAAGCGCTACGCGGGTAGTAAGGGAGGGGTACCAATGTCCCGTAGACACGCTTTGAGGCTATGAACCGTTTGCGAATAGTGATGTGTTTATTTTAATGCACTCGATTGGTTGAAAATAAGCATACTTTTATTAGATGTCACAAAATTGAATTTGGCCTCACAATAAGTGATGGGCATTGGAGTAGAGGCGTGTGTGGAAGTAGAGGAAGTATGTATGGCGGTTTGCTATGCGAGCCCTTATACGCTTTGCTCAGGCGAACTCAGTACAATTAACATCAGACGACATACACATGACACGCAGGTATGTGTGGACCAATAGGGGGTCAATCAATACATGCTTGTAGCCTGGATACTTCTCCAGGATGTTGTCAGACGACATATATATGACACATAGGTATATGTGGACCAATAAGGGGTCAATCAATACACGTATGTGGCATGGATACTTCTCCAGGATACTGTGTTCATAGCTTTATTCGCGACGTGGGTGATACTTACTACTTCTCTCCTGTGTTCTGTAGCGGTGACAGCGAGGCAGGCGTTTCCTTAATAGAACTGTCCAAGGAGTCGTTTGATTCCGGTAACGTTATAGCTCAGGTGCAGTGTCCAGGTATGTATTGCATACAACTCCAGCCTTGTACTGGTTGCGATTGGAGTGTAAAATCCTAGTCCCCCTAAACCCTACAATTTATTTGCGTAGTCAAGTTATGTGGACACAACGAATCCTGTGATTGATCGATTGAGGGGGGTTGGTTCGCCTCTCGTAGGTCCCAATCAGAGGGGAAGACACAGACCCCAGACAACGCCTGGTGGCAATTGATACAAAATCCTTTGGCGTTAAAATGAATGCATTGCGTCTTCTGTTGACACGGAATCAATCTTTATAATGAAACTATTTTCATAATGAATCTATTTTTATAATGAATCTATTTTTAGAATGAATCTATTTTTAGAATGAATCTATTTTTATATGGAATCTATTTCTATATTGAAACCATTTTTAGATTGAGCCTATTGTTTTAATGTTGAATTTTTTTATCAAAATATTGGAATATTCTGTTCTATTAATAGTTTATACATTGAATTATTTGATGTAAGACACTGAATCCCATTTTTGTGTGTTGGATCTTTGTATTATCATTACATTAAATCTCTATTGACGTTAAATCTTTTTATACAGAATACATTGAATCTTGTACTCTGACATTGACTCTTACTATTTCTATATTGAGTATTCATACTGGATTATATTGCATGTTCACACCGGATCTGCTTGTACTCACCTCGGATTGCAGTGGAAGATACCGATACGTTTCAGAGCCTCATCAATAGAATGGTGCCGCTCAGTGCCGACATGCTGCTGTCCACCATCGCATCATTGGCGAATGGGTTGCACATCCAGTCACAGGTGTGTATGCTAGTCTTGTGTACTTACTTTACATGGACTTATACACTTCCTTATGGACTTATATATTCCTATGTATCATCTACGAACGTTATATGGCTAAATATGTTGTCTTATCTGTATGTATGTGTTAGTATACTGCTGTCCACCATCTCATTGGCGAATGGGTTGCACATCCAGTCACATGTGTGTATGGTAGTCTATGCCCCTGATTCTATTTAAACATATGCACTTTTATGTTCATATGTGTATCGACAATCGATGTATGACAATATAGGTTGTCGGTACTATATTTTTTGGTTTTAATAGTCTGCGCGGTAGTCTATGTACCCGAACTATCTTGAACATATACACTTCTATATTCATATATATATCAACTATTTATGTATGGCTATTTAAACTGGCGTATCTATATTTGCTTGTGTTGTTAGTATATATGGTAGTCTACGTACCTGAATCTACATGGACATATACACTTATATATTCATAAGTATATTCACGAGCTGTGCATGGCGATAGAAAGTTTCCTATTTATATTTTTCTGTGTTAGTCGTGACATGTAGCCTTTCAGCGAGACGACTCACCTTAATACGCAGTCGACGAACATGTAGCAAACGTCTAAAGAATATTTCTCGCAGCTATTGAGTACTAATCAGCATTCATGTTCATGTACCTTCCTTTTCTGTTGATTGTCTGATATTCGTATGCGCAGCCACAGAGCACTTTCGGACGCGAAATCACTCTTGCGCCAAAGGTAGACAACACAACCAGTCGCATTGATTGGTCGACATATACCTGCGCTGCCATTGATCGCATACAGCGTGCACTCGCACACAAGGTATGATTGTATCGTCTTCCATATATGGATGTATATATATATATATATATATATATATATATATATATATATATATATATATATATATATATATATATGTATATGTATATATATATATATATATATATATATATATATATATATA